TTCCAGTTTCCAATCGGCTGATTGAACGACCGCGCATTCGCAAACATAAAGGAGATGTCCGTCACCGCGCTCACGTTCCAGTTTCCAATCGGCTGATTGAACGACTGCGCACCACGAAACAATTGGTACATGTCGTCCACCGCGCTCACGTCCCACAGCTCCATGGGATCGCTCCCCGCCGCCCCGCAATCCACGGTCGCATTCGCGCAATCGCACCCCCCCGTGGGATCCACCGCCAAGCAGTTCTGCACCGCCGTGCGGAGCGCGCCTCCGTTCGCGAACGGTGCCCCGGAGACGCCCCCCTCCGACGCCGCCGCGACCGGCTTGAACTCAAAGTTGACTTCGTAAAAGGCGCCGCTGTCCTGACCGTTTGCGCCGTGCCCGCCGGCGCCGACCATCGCGCGCGAGCCCGTGAAGGCGTAATTTGGTTGCGAGTCTCCGAAAAGGTCACTTGGGGCTGCGTCATTCGCGTAAATGCGCGTTTTTTCGACCCACGTGAACGCGTTTATGCGTTGGAAAACGTAAACGACTCCGGCATCGGCGCCCCTGTTACCTTGAGAGTCACCGTACGGGCGCGATCGAGGGTCACCGATAAGCGCATACTCGCCAGAAATGTCGATTGTCCCGCCAAAGTACTGAGTTGCGTCCGGTGGCTCGATGGACGCCGTGAGGTACCAGTTCGATTCGTTGCGCTCGTACACGTACACGACACCCCGAGCCTCGGAGTCAACACCGATGTTATATCGCAGGGCATTGCAGCCTATCAGCACGATTGAACCCGTGAATGCACCGGATGGACACCAAGAATAAAGTCCTATTAAAGGTAACTCTGCCTCCAGAATCCACGATGAACCTGAGTATTTGAAAACAAATCCACGACCCTCTACACCTCCTCGCATATGCGACATGGTCATGAAGAGTCGATCATTTTCAGCTTTTTGAATATAATAATACCCCGGGGGAGGGACTCGAATGAAAGAACCCTCCGACCAGAAGTTAGTCACTTCTAAAGGTATTCGTGTGTCGTATACCCAAGTCCCGTTCGACAAAACCTTGTATACAATAATCATTCTTTGCCGTCTGCGCGGGTCGCTATATGCTCGTGCACGAACAAACGCATGCGTCGTCGTCAATTCAAAGCGTTCTGCCTCCAGTTCAAGGTCAGCGGGTACCGTGAGAATTTGAGTTTCCGTCCACGTCGAGCCTATTCGTCGGAATACGTGTATACATCTCGGCGCGTATGAAAGGTTTGGAGTACTCCATATGAACGCAGTCTCACCAGAAAGTTTTACATATACACCAAAATCCTCGAATTGCGACGCGTTCGAGGGAGTGAGCTTGTGCGTTTGCGTCCATCCTGCGACATTGCGTTCGAATATGTATGCGGCGCCGCGCGATGTACTCGTCACGTCGTCTCTCGCGTAGCCTACAAGAGTGACGTTCCCAGATGTAGACATTCGTTGCCCAACCCTATCACCAGCTGATGCGTCTTCTGTCGTAAACGGACCTGATACGTGGAAGGTGACGTTGATATCGTTGGATGCATCACTTTGGACGTCCCCGCAAGTGCTGCCCGTCCATGCACCGGCAGACATAGTCCACGCACTTGGCGGGCCCGTGGTGTGCAGTGAACCGTCACTTCTTTTGTGCGTCGCGAGCCAAGCGTTCGCACAGTGGAACATGGCGAATGTTTCGTTCGACAACAGTAGGGGAGAATCCCACACCGTGATGTCTTGATCAAAGCGCGACGCCAACGCGAACATCGCTCTCGTTGAACGCACGTTGCTGACGTTCCACGTTGATATGTCTTGATTGAACTTTGACGCATATGAGAACATTCGTCGCATCGTGACGACGTTGCGTGTGTTCCAGCCCCCGATTGGTTGATCGAAGCTCTTTGCGAGCGTGAACATGTCGTCCATGATCCTCACCGAGGCTGTGTTCCACGCGCCAATGGGCTGGTCAAACGAAGAAGCGTTTGCGAAAATGTACGCCATGTTCGTCACCGCGCTCACGTTCCAGCTTCCAATCGGCTGATTGAACGACGTCGCGCCACGAAACATAGAGTACATGCCCGTCACCGCGCTCACGTTCCAGTTTCCAATCGGCTGATTAAACGACCGCGCATTCGCAAACATAAAGGAGATGTCCGTCACCGCGCTCACGTTCCAGTTTCCAATCGGCTGATTAAACGACCGCGCATCCTCGAACATATTGTTCATGCTCGTCACCGCGCTCACGTTCCAGTTTCCAATCGGCTGATTGAACGACGTCGCGCCAGAAAACAAGCCGGACATGTCCGTCACCGCGCTCACGTTCCAGTTTCCAATCGGCTGATTAAACGACGTCGCGCCAGAAAACATAAAGGAGATGTCCGTCACCGCGCTCACGTCCCACAGCTCCATGGGATCGCTCCCCGCCGCCCCGCAATCCACGGTCGCATTCGCGCAATCGCACCCCCCCGTGGGATCCACCGCCAAGCAGTTCTGCACCGCCGCGCGGAGCGCGCCTCCGTTCGCGAACGGTGCCCCGGAGACGCCCCCCTCCGACGCCGCCGCGAATGCGACGACCGCGAACGCGCGCGTCACCGCCCACCGACGCGTCCACCGCGAACGCGCGCGCGCGGACGAACCCATCGATCGCGTCGACGACCCACCGGTCGCCGTCGTCCGCGCCGTCGCGCGCTGACGCGCCGTCGACGACGACGCGATCGACCGTTCGATCGGACACGCACGTATACCGATTGATTTATCGCCATGTGAGGGACAATGTGTGACCACGACGCGAGCGACGGACGCACGCGGCGACGGTGATGCGTATACCGATTGATTTATCGCCATGTGAGGGACAATGTGTGACCACGACGCGGGCGACGGACGCACGCGGCGACGGTGATGCGTATACCGATTGATTTATCGCCATGTAATGGACAACGTACGACCATCACCCATCACACGCCGACGCCGACGCCGCGCGACGCGCGAACGCGACCGCGCGCGCGCATGCGCCGCGTGAAGGACGTCGACGTCACCGTCTCGGCGTCGGACACCGATTTCGTCTCGCGCGCGCGCGATCGAGGACGCGATTCGAAACGATGGAAGCTGGCGCTCGCGATGGCGATACGAAAAGTCGAGGACGACGACGACGACCCGAGGGCGTGGTACGAACTCGCGTGCGAGGCGTTCGACGCGGGCGATCGCGAGACGTGCGCGCGGGCGCTGGATCGGTGCGAAACGCTGGACGGGGCGTGGGCGAGGGACGCGCGGTTCGCGCTCCGGCGGGCGCACTGCGCGGCGGCGGCGAACGACGACGGCGATGAAAGGACGATGCGGGCGATCGATGACGTGTTCAGGGCGCTGGATGCGTCGGGGAACGATATGCCGAGTGATGTGCGGGCGGTGATGGTGATCGATGCGTGTGGGTTGGAGAGAGAATGGGCGCGACGGGGGGGGGGAGAGACGCGGGCGGAGACGGAACGGGCGCGGGAGCGAGCGATGGAGACGCTTCGAAACGCGCCGAGTGAATGAACGCGTGCACGCGTGGATGTAAACTAGTGTGATGTAAACTAGTGTGAGCTACTTCGTTGTATTTAGCTAGATGACCGCGCTGAATGTGCCGCGAGCGGTGTGTTTGGTGGACGCGCGCGGCGGCGACCAAAACGCGGCGTCGACTTGTTCGAATAACGCCTCGCATCGCATCGGCGCGATTTCCGGACGTTTCTCTCTCGCGCGCTCGGTGTTCTTCGCCACCGTCTCACCGATGACGACGCAATCGTCGTCGTCGTCGTCGTCGTGAATCGATTCGCTCGTCGCGTTCCCGCACGCGCACTCGGCGACGGCGTAATCAAACTCAAATTTGTGTCGTGCGTGCGTACTGACGCCCGAGGCGACGACGGCGAGTCGAGAAAATCCCGGTCTCGCGACGACAACATCATCGTGTTGGTAGCACGCCGCGCCACGTTCGTCGTCAAATCGATACGCCACGCGTACCGCGAGGTCACTGGCGCGAGCGGCGCCGGCTTGGATAAAGACAAAGTTCAAACCTTTGCTCGTGGCGCACGTCGCGAAGCCGCCGCAGAGGGCCAGGTGAGAGCGCTTGAACTTTGAACCGCCAGTGATCGCGCTGTCTCCGTGAATCGCCAAGTGTAAGTTACGCGCGACGCTCGCCGGGATTCCGGGTGGACCCAGACGCGCGCGAACTGGTTTCGCCGAGCATAGGCGTAACGTCACCGGGACGTCTCGCCCGCCCGCGATGGAGAGGATGTGAAACGCGTACTCGAGCCCGGCGTCAAGCATGATCTCACCCTGGCAACTCTCTCGTTCGCGAGCGCCAAACATGCCACCCATTGGCGTCCAGTCACTCGAACCGACGTCTCGAGACCACACGAGCACAGATAAGTCGGTGTACCAGTGCCCGTTCGGGCGCCCACGCTTGGTGTGCTGTAGAAGCAGGACATGGCACCAGCACCCGCCGTCATCGTCTACACGAATAAGAAATGTCGGACCACGTTCGCGCGTGTCGCTGAGAACTGTCTCCAAATTCATCGAATGCCAACCTCGCGGTGATTTACACACGTCGACCGACGAGAAATGCATGAGAAAGTCACGATACGACATCCAAAATTCGCCATCGTCTGCGCGCGTTCGAGAAAGAACATCTCCTAATCGTTTTGTCCACGCGTCTGAGTTCGATGAGAACTCACCGCGCCACTCTCTCTTACCCCACGGGTTCCGAATTTTTAGCAACCGAAGATTCTCCACCTCGACATCTAGAGCGTCTTTACCTCTTGCGTACACCTCAGTGAGTTTTGTCTGCACGCCTTTCTTCACCCCAACGACTTCGCGCACCTCCAACACGCTATACGCGTGATGACCGACAATGCCCTCTGCGCTGAACGACGTAGCGCATCCAAGCGGGAATCCCGCGGCGGAGAAACTCATCAATCGCGCCCAACACTCCTCGGAATCGAAATCATTCGCGTGAAAATCAATCTGCTCTGTCGCGCTTCCGGTCAAATCATGCAAGCCTTCAGAGACGTACCCCCCGCTAATCGCGGAGTAACTTCCGTGCGCCTTCGCGTATGCCTTCTCCGTGAGCGATACCCACAGTTGATTGTTCGCCGCGCGACTAAAAGCCAAGGAGTACTCATCGTCCTTCTTCGTTTTGGGCGTTTTTACTGGAAGCATGTCGTCGACGACGATCGCCCGCCAACGTCCGCCGAGGAATAGTCTCACAAACCAGGCACCATGTTTTTCAAAGACGCCGGCATGTCGTCTGGAGACGCCCACGACTTGCTCGAGTAAATCCTCGCGCTCGGCGATCACGGCTAGACTACTCAGGAACCAACAATCGCCGACACTCCCTTGTCGAATGTCGGCCGCGCTCGTGCGTCTTGCGAACTTGAACCGCGGTGGCGCAAAGCGCTTCCATCGCAGCGCCTTCGCGGCATCCGTGTGCACCAGCGTCTCCTTCGAGCACCACGCGAAGAAGTCGCATCGATCAACGCGCTTCTCGCATCCGTAAAACAAGCGTCCCTGCGTCACCCCATCCTTATGCACCTGTTTCACCTTGGCCTGCAGACCGCATCGACACTGGGGCGCGTTACCGCTCGCGTTGCCTCTGCCGTCGACGCTTCCTGGTGCAGGTGGAAACGCGTCGTCTCGAAACCCCTCCTCGCCCACGCGCTCGCACACCAACGTCGCCAAAGCCTCGTATGACCCCGAAGTAAACATCTCCGCCTCTTCATTCAACGGAATCGACCTAAAAAATCCGTCCGCGTCCGCCGCAAACGCCGTCTGCGCTCTCCGCACCGCGTCCGCCGCGTCCCTCTTCAACCGCTCCATCCCATCCTCCGCGTCCAATTCGTCCTGCTTCGACACCTCCTTCGCGCGAGGTCTCACCAAAGACGTCAAAGTCGCTCCACGCTTGCGCTCGCGCGCGTCCAAGGCTTCCGTCGACGCGAAGTGCGCGTCCAAAGCTTTTGCGAGCGACCAGGCATTCTGACTCAATCGTCTCCTAGCATACGCCTCGTCGCACGCCGTGGCGTTTTGAAACGTTCGTAGTATTTCATCGGAATCGACGGTTGTGTTCGATGACGCTCGAGCGCGCTTGGCCGGCATGCGCGACGTCGAGGCTCGTTTAAGTGATCATTTCTCGAGCGTCATCGAATGCAGCGGCGTCAGTACGCGACGCGACCACGTCGCCCGACGCGGACCATGGCCGTCACGCGCGCGCACGTCAGCGCGTACGCCACGTGCGCGTCGTTCACGTCGATCGATGCGCGTCTAAAACGCTTCGAGACGCGAAGAAACGGCGTCACGCGTCGTCCGGGACGATTCCAACTCGCGCAGGAATCCAACGCCAAGCGCCCGCACGGCGTCGTTCACGTCCCGCGCGACGCGCGAACACGCGCGTCGTCGATCGATCGTCCGTCGACATCGAACGCGACGACCAACGGGTCTCACATCGACGCCAACGCGCTCGCATTCGTGGATTTCTTCCGTCAGGCGTCGCCGTACATCGCGCTGCACCGCGGGTCGACGTTCGTCGTGTTGATCCCGGGCGAGACGGCCGCGGATCCCGAGAGATTGGGTGGAGTCGTTCGTGACGTCGCGTTATTACACGATTTAGGCGTTCGCGTCGTCTTGGTCGTCGGGGCGAGCGATCAGGTGAGCGAACTGACGCGAGTAAAAGGCGGGTCGGTGACGTTCTTCGACGACTATCGCGTGACGGACGACGTGGCGATGGAGAGCGCGATGGAGGCGAACGGGAGGAATCAAGTCTTAGTACAAGCGTTGTTGAGTCGAGCGCCGACGGTTTCGATCGCGAGGAGGCATAAGGATGGGGACGGGGATGGCGACGGCGGCATAGGGAGCAACGGAGCGAGCGTGGTGGCGACGAGCGGGAATTACATCTTCGCAAAGCGTATGGGCACGGTGAGAGGGACGGATTTTCAACGTACGGGAGAGGTAACGAGAGTGGACGCGAGAGGGATTAAGAAGAAACTCGCGCAAGGTGACATCGTGCTCCTGTCGTCTCTCGGATTCAACGCCGCCGGGGAGGTTTTGAATTGTCAGTCGTTCGACGTGGCTCTCGCGACGGCAATCGATTTGAAGGCGGACAAGCTCATTGTCATGACGGATCCGTCGCATATGCCGTACGAGGGGAGTCACGGAGTGGGCGAGCGCGTACCGAGATTCCTATCGCTTCGCTCGGCGGAGCAATATTTGGCGAAGACGTACGCGGCAAAGGAATCAAGCAAGGTAGGCGTGAACGGATCGTCAAGCTGGCGATGGTTACAGATGGACTACATGATCGACGGATCTGACGCAGTGGACGTGAACGCTTCGATGGATGTTCGTGCGGAACACATGTTCGACAACATGCGAGGCGTGAACGACAGTATCTCGCGATTTGAGGCGATCATGGAGCGCGACTTGACGTGGCGCGTTCCACATTGTCCTCAAGAGCTCAGTCTCGCGACGTTCGCGTGCAAGGCGGGTGTGCGTCGAGCGCACTTGGTGGACCCGACGGTTTCGGGATCACTTCTCGTCGAGCTGTACACGCGCGATGGTATCGGTTGCATGGTCGCTCGGGATCGATACGAAGGGATGCGTCTGGCTTCGATGGCAGATTGGGAGAGCATCAAGCGCATTCTTGAACCGCTCGTCGCGAACGGCGCCGTGATCGAGCGATCCGACGAAGATCTCATCGATGAAGTAAATAAGGGTTACTTCCACGTCACCGAGCGCGACGGTAAAGTCATCGCCTGTTGCGCGCTCAAGCCATGCGGCTCAAACGGAGACGCGCACGAGGTCGCCGCGTTCGCGGTGTTGCCAGAGTACCGACGCGGAGGACGAGGCGACGCCCTGCTCGAGTACGCAGAAAACTACGCCGTAGAGACGCTTGGAGCGTCCAACTTGTTCCTTCTGACCACACGCACGGCGGACTGGTTCGTTCAGCGTGGTTTCGAGAACAAGGGACTGGCGGAAGGTAACGATGAGCTTCCGCCCGGGAAAACCGTCCAGAGCGGTCGTGGTAGCATCCTCTTCGTCAAGTATATCTAAATTGATTCGTTGTGAATAAAAGAATAATCGCTACATTGGCATTACGTACAACGCACATCACATCCGTACGCACGGGATCAAGACGTCCGCCAAACCTCTGGACTGTTCGATGACGAGCGCCGCGTTCAGCCCGTCATTCGTCTCCGCCCGATCTCTCGCCTCCGCCTCCGATCGCCCCACTCGCATGTGTCGCTCTATCACCCTACGCTTTGCCTCCTCTAAATCTGTATCGACGAACCACGTCTCGTCGTACGTCCCGTCTCGCACCAAATCCCCCCACGGCGACTCCGGAAGCAACACGTAGTTACCCTCCACGAGTAACACCTCGTTCGCCAATACCACTCGTAATCCACCGGGCTCGGGATCGTGCGTGGCGTGATCGAACGTCGGGACGTCTCCAAAACCTCTCTCTCGCAGTTCCCTGACGCACTTCGCGAACGCGTGCGCGTCGAACGTCCAAGGCGCGCCTCGGCGTCTTCGCAACTCGAGCGCGTCCGGCCGCGCGTCCAACTCTTCGAGCGAGTAGTGAAACCCATCCATTGGAACGACGACGCACGCGTCGGGACGACCGCGCCGTGCGTTGTACGCGTCGCGCACGGCCTCGGCGAGCGTGGACTTGCCCCCGCCGGGTGGTCCGGCGACAGCGACGAGGAGCTGTTTCTGTTTCTGCGCGCGCGTCGCGAGTAAGGCGTCGACGCGCTCTCGCACGACGTCGGCGTACGCGATGGACGACGACGATGGAGACGACGTCGCGCGAGGTCGGGGCGCGCGGCGATGCGCGCGCGTTGGCGCACGCGTTGGCGCGTTGGCGCGCGCGGACATGGCGCCGCGAGCCGCGCTGTGAGCGCGGTACGAAGTGGAAAGCGGTGGAAGCGTGGACGGCGATGACTAAGGATCGTTCAATAGATTACAATATTTCTCTACGCGCGCTCGCGAAGTCGACTCACATCGCTCGCAAGGCTTGGTCCATCTTAGGCATTTGCGACATCGCCGCTATTTGGCGCTTAATGGACACGATGGTGCTCACAACGATGAGCATCGATGTCAAACCGAACGATTGGCCGATCATTTTGTTCATCCACATGTCCGTGAGCGAGCACGCGGTGGCGATAGAGGCGAGGAGGACGCCTCCGAAGAATCTCGATCCCGCCTGGACACGATTGAAAAAGTCGACTGTTTGCGTTCCGGGGCGCACGCCCGGCACGCGTGCGCCAATCTTCATCAAGTACTCGCTGATCTCTTGCGGGGTATTCTGCAGGTCGATGTACGTCCCGGTGAACACGAAGACGAAAAGCAAGACGAAGTACACGACTGAATTCGCCTTGAGACCGATCGGGAGCCACTGTAAGGCGCCCAGGATGAACATGGCAAAAATGACTGGTTGCATGTTCGTCGGGTTTATCTTGAATGGAATGTGATCGCCCTCGTCGGCCTCGGCGATGGCCTTCGGTAACCCGGCGCTGCCAGCTGGGCCCTGGAAATACTGCAAAGGTACCTTTGCGGTACCTTGCTCCAAGATGACCGTGCCGAGCATGAAGACGCTAAAGAAGGCTACGATGGGCAGCGCCGCCGCGAGAGTAAAGTTCTCGATAATCTTCGGAAGCAGAGCCTTAAGCGCGGTGAAGTAGCCACCACATATGGACATGGTGATGATCACGCTACTTCCCTGACCCAAGCCGTAATTCGTGATCTCGTCCGCGATCCAAGTGATTGCGAGCGCTCCGGTAACGAACATCGGTACGACGAGGAGGTAGTACTCAAACCCCGTGCCCACCAAGCTGTGCATGCGCATCGATCGCGCCTCGACGACGCTCTGCACGAGCGCGATAGCGAACGTGAGCAATCGCGTCCACCACTTTATCGTTTCCTGTCCCGTTTGATCCTTGCGCATCTGCTGAAACTCAGGCGTCATGGCGGTGAAAATGGACACCGCGATAGACGCGCCGATGTACGGCCCGATGCCGACGTGAAACCATGGCACACCCCCTCCCGAACTCAAGGACTCAGCGAGCCAACTTGATCTGAGCGCATCGCCCCCCGCGGCTGTGCCGGAAAGTCCCAGCGCGTTCGCCACGACGTCCAACGCTCCGTTCCCGCCCGAAAACGTGGACATCAACGTCGCCATGCTAAACATCGACTCCCCCACCCCCGTGGCGTCGAAAAACCTCGTCGGGAGCAACAAACCCGCTCGCACGAACACCATCATCGCCATCACACTCGCTAATCTCTTAAAAATCGAGCTTCCAACCGTTCGTATCACCCCTCGAAACGCGGGCGCGCGCGCTTCGAGCTCCGCCAACGCCCTTTCCCGCCCGTACGTCCCCTCCACCGCGATTTCAACCTCCTCCTCGGCGTACATCGATCGACGAAGCGCCTCTAAAGATTCTTCCCTCGACGCGAACGCGCGCGGCGTCTCGGTCCATCGTCGCGCGCTCGGATTCGTTCGCCCATGCCGCCACGACCGCGCGTCTCGCCGTCCAGCTCGCCCCTCGCGCGCGCGTCGCACCGCGCGCGACGTCCACGCGCGCGGCACGGCGGTCGACATCGTCGCGCGCGGCGTCG